TCTTTGACATCGTTTGTTGAGGAATATGAACACCTTTATTATCAACGACGAATTGATTGACTTCATTTCTGTTGGCCATGCATTCACACCCTTCTCCATGCGGCTCCCGAGATTGCGCGTGTGGGACCTGGCGCTTATACGACGCAGTTCACGATGGAGCGTGCCATTGGTGATCTGGGTCGTGATATCCGGCAACCGTCAAACATATTCAGTAATTTGTGTCAAGTTGAAAACCGCAGGGCCCAGCTTAATGCCCTCAAAACCACAGTATCGTCCTTTGTAAGTCCTAGTTTCTCTGCCAGCTTTCTGAAGGCGCTACCAGAATATATGTCATCATATAGACGATCAGCCGCTGATCCAGGGGTATTGAACTCTTTGAGGATTTGAGAAAGTTTTTGATCTCGGTATGATAGGGCAGCGGCACCCTGATGTGAGCGGCAAAGTGCTTGAAGCTGTGGTCCAAGCAGAATAGTGCAGGCCTGTTGTCGGGGGACTTCTTTTCCGGTTCGAGCGAGTTTTTCTGGATCATAACGAAGTTCGGAACATTCAGGGCACACTTTCAAATCGGTGAAGGGACCAATAAACGCGACACAAGATTTGATGCACATGTCATCGAGCACTGTGTCAATGCCGCTGATCTTCGAGACCAACTTTTTGACAGAATAATAAGACAGAACCGTGATATTGGGAAAGCAACGAAGAATGGATTCATGAGTGCCATTATAGGTGGCTTGGGAAGCATTGTTGCAAGACATGAATAAATTGAGGGAAAGACGAGTGTCTGGATCCGAGATGTCGACAGGCTCAGTGTCTGGATGCCTCAGATTATCGAGCATATCTGGATCTAATTTATCATTTTCAAGTGTAGCCGACGAAATCTTCTGAATGAGCTCTTGCACGAAACGAACATGGCGTATAGGAGACGTCGTTTCGGCAATGTCTAGATCGTCATCAGCATCAGGGAAGGTGGGGTGCTCATCCACAGCCAACATCCCCGCAATAGCAGCAGCGCCAGTCTGGATTCGCCGCATTTGTGCTAAGTCTTCCTGTTCCCTGAGAGTGCCGGGCTCATCATCATCAGGGTCAGACTCCTCTGAAATGGAATTAGAGTCAGAGCTGGGCTCTTGATGATTGTCCTGCCGAAATTTGATGTGAGATATACTTGAAGTTGAAGCGGCGCTGTCACAGACCATGTTGTGATCACCATATGCCTGCTCATCGTGATTAGCTACTTTTGTCAATACCTCCTGTAAACGTAAATATTCTAGAATCAATAGGATTGTTTTGGAGCGAACTATTGTCATACCTGGTTACCGTAACTTTCAGTTTCATCTGAATGTGTGTCAAGACGATCATCTGGCACAGTGTCCAACTCAAAGTTAGCAGGTCCCTGTCAACAGTCAGGGAAAAATCTCAGCAAAATGTGTCAGTCTTGCTAACCATTCTTCAGCGTTTGGTGGGCCTCTCAGAACTGAAGTTGTCAGGAGGGTCATCGTCGCTGCCGGATTCGGATGAGCTGTCTGATCTGGAGCCCACAACTTCATTTGATTTTGAAGGGCCGGGGACTGTTCTTGCTTGTCGCCATTCGGCAAAGTCATCGACAACTGTGTTTCGATTTTCCACTGTTGCATTTCGCGCCGCAGCATGATGCCTCTGCTCAGTCCGTTTGTCTTTCAATGCTCCCTCACATTTCTCGCAAAAGCAGG